GAAGCCCAGCGGGTAGGGGCACAGCCCAGGGACCCCCCCCATCCCACAGAGCTGTGCCTATGGGTGCTGTGCGTGTGGGCACCCAGCAGTGCACCCGATGGAGATGCAGCACAGGGTTCATGCAGGAGCTCATCCCCACCCCCAGCATGGTGTCTGGGGGCTCATGGTAGGGGGGGGCTCTGGGTGGGTCTTACCCCCTCCTCCAGCGTGGCCAGGCCCTGTGCCCGCAGCCGCAGCGTTTCCTTCCCGCTGCCCACTCTGCCCTCGCCCAGGAACTTGCTGCTCCGCGTCCTCTGCCCAATCATGTCTGCACCCAGCAGGGGGGGCGTGAGGTCACAGGCAGGGCCTGGCTCCTCCTGCCCCACCATCACCTAGCCCCAGCCCACGCATGTCTGAGCACCCCATGGGGGGGACGTCACAGGGTGAGCCACGCATGGGGAGAGCAACGTGGGCACAAGGGACACCCACGGGTGCAGGGTGGGGATGCACAGAGGGTGCTCACGGGTGCCCAGGACAGTGCACACAGAGGAGTTGGGGTGCTCATGAGGAGCACAAGCAGGTGTGGGGACCCCCCCTGAGGAACGCCCCACAAGAGTGCTCCCTGAGGAGTGAGTTACAAGCAGAGATGGTGGTGCTGGGGAGGGGGCTGCAGGGCAGAAGGGCTACAGGGCATCATCCTCCCAGGGGTCACCCAGTCCCCAGGGCACCTCCCTCCCTGCACCCTGACTTACCAAAGGCCTTTTTGGGCTGCACGAGGCGGAGGGTGAAGGGCTCAGCCCGCGGCAGCTCCCGCAGCATCCGGGCCACCTCGTAGTGCCGGCATCCCACGATGGTGTGGTCGTTGATGGCCTCGATGCTGTCACCCACACACACCGTCTGGATGCGGTTGATGATGCTCCCCTCCTTGATCCTCTGGGGATCGCAGCAGTGGACAGGGGACACACAGCGACAAGGTGGCACCGTGGGAAGGACAGGCACAGCCCCCACCCAGCACAGAAACAGCCCCGTGGTCCCATCTCCTTCAGCAACCAGGTCAGGCAGGCAGGGTCTCTCCCAAAACTGCACCTTGGCAGGGGACACCCCCAGGGCCAGAAGGGTATCTGATGCGAGGGGGACTGAGGGGCAGGGGAGTCAGGGAAGGGGCAGGGTCCCAGGGATGGGATGCCAGCAGGGATGTCACCATACAGGGCCACAGCCCCCAGGGCTGCCCCTGGCCCCAGCACAGCCCCACGGGGGAGTTCACCTTGATGAAAGCGTAGCCGGCCCCATTGTCTGTGATGGTGAGGCCAAGCGCGTCCTCGGTCTTGGTCACCTCCACTTCCTTTGTCTCGCCCCGGACGTGGGCAAAGATGAAATCCTCCAGGCCAATCTGTCCCCCCAGCAGCTTCTGCATGTCTACTTTGTGCGTGTTGAGCGTGCAAAAGAGGATCTGCCCCGGGGAACCTTGTCACCAGGGGCTGGGGATGCCACAGCAGGGCAACAGGGTGCTGAGGCAGGAGCCAGCCATGGCCTGATGTGGCCAAGCCTGGGCACTGCTGGACTAGAGGGGTGCAGGGACACACAGCCCACCCGGGGAGCCAGCTCCGTACCATCCCTGCGAGCCCTTCCCTTGGCTCCAGCCTACATGGCAACTGGCATCAGCCAGAGGTAAGCCCCAGCTCCCTGCCCATATGCCAGGGGAAGCTGAGGCACAAGGCACAGAGCCACCCAACCACTCCCCAGAGGAGACAAGACAGCTCCCAAATCAAAATGTTCTTTTCCAGGTCATTTTAGGGGCTGCATTTGCAAGCAGCTGGGGACCCACAGGAGGGCTGGCAACAGAGGGTGCCATGGGGTTGGCAGCCCTTCTTTGGATGCAAAGGTCCCTCCCTGCACCCTGGCAGCAACAGCCCCCTCACCTCGGTGGGAGAGATGCTGAAGACCTCGGCGATTTTGGCGTAGAGCTCCTTGACGTTGGTAAAGCCCTCGATGCGCTCCGTGGGGCTGCCGTGGGCCAGCTGTGTGTGAAACACCAGCCTGGGGCGCGCACGGGGGCGCCGGGGGGCTGAGGTGCCCTCAGCGGCAGGTGGCTCGGGGGTCTCTGGCTCCTGCCCCGTGCCGTTTTCCATGGGGCT